CCCATGGCATCTGGCACACGGCTTTGCAGATAATGGGCATCCCATACATATTTGTGGAATGAAGGTGGGCTAGGTCAGTGTTCCTGGAAGTGAAGACAGGAGAGGAATCGAAAGACTGTTCATGCAGTAACCATGGGACCTAAGGAGGACCTTTGCGACAGGATCACACAGGTCTTCTCTTTGGCCCTTTTTTTATTTTTTTAAGCAATGTCTAAGAATGAGCTGAGCATGAATTTCTACATTAAAATTTAATTGTCAAACTAGATTCGAAAGGCTCACATGAGCCATTTTGGTGGGGAGTCTTCAGACCTCAGACCCCTTCATTTGGCTCAAGTATCACTTAGGAGGTATTTTATTGAGAAGTGGCCTCTGCTGTCACTCCCATTAACAACTATGGCTCCATAAACTAGCAGACAAGAGGGAACTGCAATGGGCCCAGTTCGGCTGGGCGTGATTGTAATGATAGAGGCCATAATGCAAGTGTCTTGATCAGAATCCTGAGGATTAATTATTTTGATTATCAAATTATCTCTTAGGCTGATTTGCCATTTTCAGAAGCGCCGGCACTTGCCCACTTAGCCACTGCAGAGCCTCCCAGTGCTGGCCACCGACAGTGGCTGGCTCTCAGCAGCCCAACACACCTGTGCCAAACCCTCTTCAGCATCATGCTGGTGCCAGGGTTGAGGCAGCACCAGCCTAAGCCCTGCAGCAGCCCGAGGCAGGTGCCATGGTCAAGTCCCGGTGGCAGGAGGAAGTCAGGCCCCACTTACCTCCTCTACCACCACCTGGGTCTCAACCACCAGAGTCCCCTTCCTGAGTTCAGGCCTCCCCATCCCTCTGCAGCCTGCTGAACTTTCAGTCTCCAAGCCCCATCTGTCACCTCCCTGCTAAGAACCACAGTGGACCTTCCCCTGGCCTCAGCCTGCCATGGCCCCTACTCGCTGCTCTTTTTATTCCTGGAACCCTGGTGCTGCTTCCCACCCTGGGGCTCTTCATAACCTGTCCTGCCTGATACCCTCTGGTTGGGCAGGGGAGTGGGAAGTGGGGAGACTGAGTCCTTGACCCCCGAGGTCCTGAGCGAGGAGCTTGCTGCTCTTTGTCTGCCTCTGTGCCTTCTGGGGCACAGCAGCCTGGAGGTTTGCTTGAGCCCATCCCAGGAGCCCTGCATGCTCTCTCCCTCTTTGTCCCCACCCCCACAAATTCTCGGGAACACTGAGACACCTGATGGAAGTGCTCATGTTCATATGTCACCCTCCTGGGTGTAGTCGCGGGCTTCTGTTGGGTCCGTGCTGTCTGCTCCTCCTGCGCTGTCACGGTGCAGCCTAGATTCACCTCCCGGCGTTTCCCTGGACTCCTTCCCTCTGCTCTCCTCTGTGCTGGGGCTCAGCTGTGTGCTGAGGAGGAGACCAGCCTTTCCTTTCCCTTCCTCTGCTCCTGCAAGGCCTGCAGCAGCCCTTTAGGGGAACGGGCGCTGTCAGTCAGTGAGGGCTCCACGGCTGGCCATGGCAGGAAGGAAACTCCGCTGGGGTGGGGTGTGGCCCACAATCTCACAGCCACAGGAGGTCACAGGGCAGGGCTCCACGGCCCCTGTGGTGAGGGCCAGTCTGCAGACAGATAAACCTCAGTCACCACAAGGGCAAGCAAGGACAGTGTGAGGGCGGCACTCACCAAACCACTAGGGCCTGGTCAGGGTGCAGACAGAGGAAGTGAGACCTGTCCCCCCAAGACCATGAGGGGGCTCTGGAGGGCACACAGAAGGGGGCTTTCCTGACTGCTTTAGTGATCCTGCTCTCTTCTGGCAGCTGGTTGCTTGAAAAGTCCATGAAGCCAAAAGTATGCCAGGCAGCTAGCTGTGTTTTCTGGAAAACTAGTCAACAATGGGAAAAGCCATGACGCTGAGCTCTGAGCATGACACCATCAGGACTCTCTGTGACATCCACAGAGTCCCCTTAGAGATATTCCCTGCTGCTCCGTGATGCTGCCTCACGGGTCACGGGGTGAGAAGTCTCTCCCGGGAAGCAGGCACCTGGTGACTGCCTGCTCTGGGCCTGCCATCTTGGCTGGGCAACAGACAAGCCCACACAAGGTGTGCAACCCATGCTCAGACCGGTGGGGTGCAGGAGCATGGTCCTCATCCACCATCACTGCGCCACAGCTGCTTCCATGCTCCCCAACACAAGCCATGCCTGGACATCAATGCTCAGCAAGAGCTGGAACCAAGGAATGGGACTTATGAGTGTATTAGGGTTCTCTAGAGGAACAGAATCAACAGGAAGTATAATTATAAAAAGGGGACTTATTATAATTGTTGGCTTACATGACCAGAAGCTGAATAGTTCACGATGGCTGTCTGCAGGCTGGAGAGCGGGACAACCAGTACCTGTGCAGTCCAAGAGGCTGAAGCCCCAGAACAAGAGGGGTCAGTGGTGCTACCCTCGTCCAAGACCAAAGGCTTCTGGAGAATCCACTTTGGAAGAGTAAAGAAGGGAGAGTTCCATATCCTCAGATGATCACAGCAGCAATGAAGAACCCATTCAGGAAGAATTGAGCTTGTATCTGCTGCTGGTTCTTTGATCATCTTTTATTCTATCCAAGCCATCACCCTATTGGTTGATGCTGCCCACCTTAGGAGGGGTCTCCATTTCAATTGGCTAACCCACATGCCAATCATTCCTAGACACACCTTCACTGACACACCCATAATCCACTTAATCCTGGGCATCTCTTAATCCAATCAAGTTGATGATTCAAATTGACCATTACAATGAGTTTCTGCATGCACTCATTTGTGAAGACTTGAGCGGTCTTAGACTTTTGCTTCCTCACTTTGAGCCTTGGTCTCTTCAGACTGTGAAAAGAGTGGGTGGGACTTGATAATCTGTATGATAACTTTGAAGTCCCTATATATTTGAGATGCTGAGGCCAGAGTCTGCAGGAGGTCACATGCATGCATTTACTAGGAAGTGCTGGGACACTACCTATGACATATTTGACACAGGTGAGAGACCAGCACTCCGGAGGCTGAGCTTTTCCCACTTCCCTCTTCCTGAGGGCCCTGCAGGCCTTCTACCTGGACTCCAAGAGCAGTTATGACCTTGGGGTCAAGAGGGGCAGGAGGCTGTGTTCTTGCTGCTCCTTAAGAGAGAATGAGCCTGAGGTTAGAGAGGACAGCCGGGATGAGGTCTGGATGCTAGGATTTCAAACACATTCAGGATGCCAAACGCTGTAGGCAGATTTTTATTAAAAGGGACATCACTGACTTTTCTTATAGATCGTTGCTCCTCAGACAATACCCGTTCTCATAATTTTTTTTTTGGTTCCAATATAGTTCACTTTGTTTCATTAAGGAAGTCTAAAAGGAAATAACTTTTAAAGAATCTAATAAATACAAAGAAAGAAAATGTTAAATTGCATTTTATTGGCTTTATGGTCCCAAATCCATTTCATTTCCTGAATGCATAATCTCAAATTCATTTCATATCCTGAATACATATGCTACATTTAAAAAATATCAGGCACAACCAAACCAAGAGTCAAGTGATAAAATGCTTATCAATCATCTACTTGAAAGTCTCTTCTTGTCTTTCTCGTCACAAAAAGTCTCATGTTTTCCTAGAAATAACGCAACTTAGAATTGGCATTTCAACTCTGCTTTACAGTTACTAGGCTAGTCTGTGGGGTCAGAGCCTCCTATGGAGCTCTTGGGTTTGTTTTTCTCTCTTCTCGAGATGAATGTAGAAAAAGTGCACCTCAAGGGATTCACAGTTTTTACGAATCCCCTCCCCCAAGCTTCTATCTGTAGATTCTTCACCAAGCACTGAAGAGATGGAGACTTCTATTTTTTGGAGAATTAAAATAAGCTTAACTTTTGTCATCATGTGTATCTATGAGATTTTTTTAAAGTAGTCTAAAATTGGAATAGAATATGAGCTTTCAGCATCTCCTGATTTCATTCATTTAACAGACACATGTGATGTGCACGCCCTGGGTAAGCCCTGTGAGTGACAAAAGTGTTGACCAGGCCTACTCCTGCTCCCTCTCCTTGTAACCAGAAGGGCAGGCCATGTGTACATGATGGCTACAGTGGGGGTTGTGGGGCATTGGCTGCCTGAGAAGACAGACTCTATAGCATCATCAGACTCAGGGTCGCGAGGAGAAGTAGCCCATGAAGGAATCCGAGGGAGAGTCTGTGGGGTTTTGTAAGGAGGTGGCAGGAAAGAACGGCATTCATAAACTTGGAGAAGGAGCCAGTGTCAAGCATTCTGAGAAATACCGAGAAGTCCAGGTTACATGGTATTCTAGATTTTGGAAGATGATATTGGAAAGTATACAGGGGCATAAGGAAGGCCCAGGAGTCTGTACTTCACATGGCAGTGGGTAGCAGAAGGAGGGTTTTGAGCAGAGAATAGCAACCAACATAGGGCCTTGGTGGGATAAATGTGGTTCTGAAGCATGAATGGTAACTGGCCCCTGGGTGTCCTGCTGCCAGGACCACCCCCGTGGAGTGAGAGGGGCCTGGGGGCCTGTTAGGTGGGAAGTGCTTGGTAGAGCCATAGGGGCTGCTGAGGTTGAAGAGCCCAGGGTGCATACATAGCTGCTGGGGTGGAGCCCAGGAATGGCCACGGACTAGGAGCAGCTCATATTACGTTTTTCTTTTCTTTTTCTTTTTTTGCAAGAGAATAATTTTTTAAATTTGGTCTGTTGCTTTTCTTTATATTTTATTTTATTTTTTAATTTTTTCTTAGTACATGACAGTAGAATCTGTTTTGGCAGACTTTTCATACATAGAGTCTATTCTACTGAGGATCCCACTTTTGTAATGGTACATGCTGTAGAGTTACCCTGGTCCTATATTCAAATACAGGACAGTAGAATTAATCAATCATGTTACTTTTTACTCCTTTTTCTTTTTCAAAAAAAAAAAAAAACCTTTGAAAATGCTTGGCATTCTTGTTCTAAACTTCTTTGGTGATCCCATAGCGCTAGGTGTACTCCTTCATTTTTATTTGTATGCTATGTGGCTACTTGACAAATGTTTGAAATGCCTTCATATATTTTAAGAACAAACTAAACTTATCAGCATTATTTAGCAAATTTGCATGAACTCAGCAAGTGACATAACTAACATTCTCACTGATTAACATCTAAACTATTCTCCTGCCGTGAAGCCTGCACTTGGGAGGTGAACGGAGTGGGGCTCTCTTCTAGACCTGCCCCCTTTCTTTCAGTAGTGGATAAAAGAATGAAATGCTGTTTTGATCTCCTGCCCATCAGGCAGCGGACAGCCTGCAGGTACTGGATGCTTCGAACGTTTTCTTCCCCACAGAGAGCACCCATGAAAGGAGAAGCCACAGGGTGGACTGCTGTGACTCCCTTTTGAGTCTGAGCCCGAGCAAACACTTCTATGAAGCCAGAGACAGTGCTTATGTATTCATAAGCATATTTCTGATTTTTTAAAGAATATTTATTTTGTAGTTGTAGTTAGATATAATACCTTTTTTAAAATTTGTTTATATGTGGTGCTAAGGATCGAACTCAGGGCCTCGCCTCTACCACTGAGCCACAACCCCAGCCCTCATAAGCATATTTCTTTATATACCTTGTACCCAGTACTACACCTCCAGTGACCGGAAATCCACCTTCTCCTGATACAGCCAACTCCTCCTCCTGCCCTATTCTTTTGTGGAGCCCAAGATTACAGACCAGCAGGCAGCAACCTCTGGGACGTCCAACTCTGCCTCTCTAGTGTCGTTCTGAGGGGATAGGTCAAGTCCAGCATAGCAGTCACTTTGGTTCACTGGGAATATCCCTAGGGTCTGTGCACAGAGGCCCTGTGTGGTTCGTGAGGCGTGGGGGTGCAGGAACTCCGCCATGGGCTGATCCTCTCTGACACTGGCGATTAAATTGGCTCCTCCCATGTTGTTAGGGGTTGAATTCTATCCCCCAAAAGGCATGTCGAAGTCTTGACCCCCAGTCCCTCAGAATGTGACCTTATTTAGAGGTAGTAGGGCCTTTACAGAGGTAGTGAAGTTAAATGAATTCATATGGATGGGCCTTAATTGGATAAGTGAGTGTCCTTATGAAAAGGGGAAATTTTAGCCAGGCTCGATGGCACATGGCTGTGATCCCAGCAGCTCAGGAGGCTGAGGCAGGAGGATCATGAGTTCAAAGCCAGACTCAGCAATGACAAGGCGCCAAGTAACTCGGTGAGACCCTGTCTCTAAATAAAATACAAAATAGGGCTGGGGTGCAGTCGAGTGCCCCTGAGTTCAATCCCCAGTCCACCCTCCCAGCAAAAGGGAAATTTGAGCACAGACTTAGACATGCAGAGGGAAGATGATGTGAAGAGACACAGGGAGAAGGTGGCCGTGAGACTGGAGTGGGCAGTCACAAGCCAAGCAGTGCCACAGAGGAGGCTGGCAACACTAGGAGCTGGAAGAAGAAAGCAGGGTCTGTCTGCCTAGACAGCTCTGGAGAGAGCACGGTCCTGCTGATCATTCATTTTGGACATGTGGCCTCCAGAACTGTCAGACAATACATTTCAGGTGTTTTCAATCACCCTGTTTGTGGTTCTTGGTTATGGCAGTCCTAGGAATCCACACGCGACCCTGCATTAGCCTTCAGAGGACTTTCCTGTACAAAGACTCCTTTTTTCCTTGGCCACTGCTTCTCCATCTTCTCATCTGCCTTCTCTGTGAACATAGTGGCCTCAGAGCAAAGAAAGACCCAGTCCAGCCTGATTGGCATGGACTGGGGAAGGGGAGAGCTGCTGAGTTCTGAGGATCCGTCCCGACAGGCCTAAGGACCCCGGCATCTCATCACGTTGCAGGAAGAACTGGGGATCTGACAACTTGAGATCTGGGAAGGGCTCCTGGTGATGAGGTCGGAAGAAGCCCTTCAAAGAGAAGCAAAGCCTGTGAACATACTGTTTGTGAGTTATACGACTGGATAATTAGTGCCAGCTTTTAACCCAACACTTGTTTTCAGCAGATGAGGTATCTGCATCTCGGTGACTTGCCACCAATCACACAAATGAAGACAGTGACTCAGAACCAGAATTCAATCTGCAGGGCTCTTTCTACCAGCCCTGTCAACACACACTTAAAGTCATTACTCTGGGGCCAGCACTGTGAGACACACACCCTCCCTTCGTATAGCCTATAACCGAATCAGAGACAGAGCCAATATCCCAGCATGATTTGATGAAGACAGAGAGGGCAGCAGAAGGCAGCAGGCCTTCCACAATCCCTTTGTCCAGGAAGCGCACTGTCTTCATCAGGAACCTGGAATAATATTTGTCTTGCCTCCTGAACTCGTTATGGGAAAATGCTTTAAAATGCACTATGAGTGCAGGAAGCACCAGCAATCAAGTGTGGGGGTCAAGTCCAAATCAAATTACACAAGGGATTTGGTGCAGAAAAGTAAGTGCCTTTGTAGATATCATCGTTTGCACAGGTTTTTTTTTTAATATATGGAAGGTCCGTAAGGCACATTATCTCTGGAGTCTCTTAGCAAACTCCTGTGCCATTGAATGGAGAGATAAAAAACCTTTCTGAAACAGATGTTAGCCCTGTGCTCCTACTTCCTCTTGTGCTACCTTGTTTATTTCTTTCCATGTACAAAAGCTAAAATTTAAAAATAGCCAATTCAGATAAAGGTGGTGGTATATCCAAAGAATAATGCAAAAGCATCTGTTAATTTAAACATGGGACTTGATTAATATATTAAAACTACCTGTAGCTTTAATCTATGGTTTTTTTTTTTTTTTGCACCAGTTCAGCAGCTGTTGTGCAGGGACTGCTGAGCAGATTTGGACCCCATATGCTTAATATTAGTTAGATTCATTTGGATGCTTAATAGCTTTGGTAAAGCGGAACTGTGTTTGACACTGTTTTTGTCTGTGGTTAGATTTAATACATTCAGTTCTGGAAACTTGAAAAAAAACCCAGAAAATTCTGACAACCTGCCTGAGTTTAACCCCATCTGTCCCCTGGACTCATTAATTCTTGTAGCTAAACTTCCTCTGCAGATCAGAGAACACTTTTTATATGCAACTGGTTGTATCTTTGGTCATAGAGCAGTGGCCCATTTGGGCTGGTAAAATACCTGAACTGTGTATCTTAAACAACAAACAAGTATTTCTCACAGTTCTGGAAGATGGGGAATCCAGGATCAGGGCTCCTGCAGGTTGGGGGTCTGGTGAGGGCCTGCTGCCTGGTTTGCAGATGGCCACCTTCTTGATGTATAGTCACAGGTCCAGGAAAGCTCTTCCTCTTCTTATGGAAGAGTGCTTAACTCTCATGACCTCATCTAATCCTGACCACTTCCCAAGGCCCCACCCCGTGATCCCATCCCATTGGAGGTTAGGTTTCAACATCTGAATTTTGGAGGGACACAAACATTCAGTCAGTAGCGAGCAGCCCAGAACCATCCTCGCCTGACGGGTTCTGTTACTGGCATTCCCCAAGGGCTGTTTTACATGCAGTGCTCATGGGGCGAGTGCAAGATGAAGGCAGTGTTCCATGTCGCGTGAAATACTGGAACTTTCTACTTGGATTATTCTAAGCATCCAACCAACCATCTGCTTATAATAATGGTCTAAAATATTTTCTTTGAAGAAGTAGGAATTTGCTCAAATTATGTAACTCCTAGGTCTGCAGCTCTTGGGAGACCATCAGATTCACTCACCCACTCATGGTTCATTCAACAAATACTTAGTGAGGACTGGGCATGAGTCTAGATGCTAAAGAAGTTAGTAACGAACAAGACAAAGTCCCTGCCTTCAAGAGGCTTATGCCACTTGCAAATCCATAAATTCATGTATATAGTATAATGTCAGATGGTGATGACAGAAGAAAATCCAGAGGAAAGGTGATAGACAGTGACTGGGAGATTAATCTGACTTGGATGAGGGAGTGAGGGAGAACATTTTTAAAAATTTTTATTAGTGCATTAGAGTTAGACATAACCATAGTGTATTCATTAATCTTTACTCATACAGTACATGATATGATTTGCTCAATCTCTCCCCAGCACCTTCCCCAGGGAAAGCATTTTTGAAGAGGTGATACAGAGCAGAAATCTGAAAGAAATGAGGGACTGACTTTCCTGTGGAAGAAGAATATTCCAGGGAGTGGGAACAGCTAGTGCAAAGGCCTCGAGATGGCATGCACTTTGCATCACTGAGGATTAGTAAGAAGATGGGCATCATTGAGTGCATTGAACAAGACAAGGAGTGGTAGGAAGATAGGGGCGAGAGAGCAGGAAGTCAGGTCATTAAATACAATAGGAAGTCGTTTTGAAAGGGTCACTGTAGCTGTTGTATGGGGAGTGGGATGTTGGGGAGCTGGAGAATTCAGACGTTATTGCAAGACTCCAGTCATAAGATGAGTGTGGACATGGAACAGGCCAAAGAGGGAAGAGCTGGGAAGCAGCTGGAGTTAGAATCATGATTGGCAGATGGATGTAGGAGAGGCATGGACGTCAGGGAAGCAGCTTTATTTTTCTCCAATTAGAGAAGCCCATGGGCCACTGTCACGAGCCCACTGTTGCCCACGAGAGAACGTGACCCCCAGCAGCAGAATCCGCAAAGGTGAAGGAAAATCAAAACCTTCTGAGGCTTTCACGTTTAAGATAAAGGTTTGAATTTTCCATGAAGAAGAGAATAAAGACATTACATGCACTGTAGCACCTTTTGAAAACCTTTCCTTAGCAACCTTTCAAAACTGCACCAGACGTTCCTTGATTGGAAAAATAAAGTAGATTGCAATTTCCAGGAAGAGGAGACCATGATCGTGGGCTAATTATGAAGTTCATTGCTGCATGTATCGAAAGATCAGATTCAGCTTACAGTTTCTCCTGCCGGGTGGTGGTCCCAGACAACACCAGAGCAGCTAAGGGTAAAAAGGAGGCCAATGATAAAATTCACATTTTTCTCTTTCTCTGTTCTGGAGTTTCAAACTTACATCATCTTCTCGTGTAAATAACACTCAGCATTGGCAGGACCCACTTTGGATTTCCTGTTTCCTTTCTTTTTGTTTGGTTCTTATTCCTTCCTTCCTCCAAATCGGTTTTTCGTATTTTCTAACCTGAAAAAAAAAATAATTTGACATATTTCTATAGTCTGTAAATTTTTTTGCAGATGAATGTGCTATTGCTTAGGGTACTTTTATAAATTTTTAAAAATGTGAAAAATTTGAAATAATGTGATTTTGGGGGTGTCACTCATTTCTAGGAATTTTTCTGAACAACAACAAAATGATTCCAGGAATCTGTTCTACTCCAAATTAGTTGTATCTTTGGATTTTGTTTGTTGCCATCATTCTGTAAGATTACATTGTAGCCTGTGATTAGACGTAGTTCATGGCACTGAAATGTAACCTTGGTATCAAAGCTGCATCAGCTCTTGTATTGTGTCTGTGGTCGCAATTATTAAAAGAGAGAAAAGAGAGCCTGTGTTCCCACAATTGATACTGTTTTGTTTTGGAATGAGCAGACAATCCTTGCAGCCTGTGCTGATTTCCCCACACAGACATGGTGTGTGGAGCATTTTATTGGTTCCTGGAGCCAGAAGCCTGGCCTCTAACAGGACTTCAGGAGTTAGTTCTATGATGATAATGTGATAAGATCATCATTCGTCAGTTGACATATACATTGCTCAGATTCTCCCTTATTATAAAGAATAGAACTTAAAGGTGTTTTACTTTTCCCTGAGAAGGAAATATTCTAGAATTTTTAGGCCACAGGACTCTGTTCTGTGCAGGAAGGGATTCTAAGGACAGGAGCAGCCTCTGGCCACAGCAAGCATAGCTGGAGGCCAGGTCCTCCTGCACTCCCCCACAGCACCACGCACAGGGCAGCCACTTACTGAGGTCTGATGATACACCCAACCGTCTTGGAATGTTGTCCTTGTGACAGAGAAAGCCACTGAGGCTCAGAGAGGACAGGTTCTCTCTCAGGGCCCACTGGAGTTGATGTCAGTGTTCAAACCTGGTGGAAAGAAGGCTGCAAAGTAGACCAGTAGCACGCCTGTCCTCAGGGAAGTTAAGAAGCCGATGCCCTGACCTACTGTGTTGAGGGAAGGTGGAGAAGGCAAGTCAACTGTGAGGGCATCGCTCAGCCCTTTGAGGAGCTACCCTGTGTGGTTTAATTAACAACAACTATTCTGAAGGATCCTGTTTGAAGGGGGATGTTTCAAAGCCTGTGTCCCCCATCCCAGATTTCTGAGTATCAACTCTGCCCTGCGACCCTGACTCTTGTTCCTCACTCATCCCCCAGCGTGTGACAATATGGATGTCACAGGGTTGTCAGCAATCTCCCACCTTTGCAGTTGGTCAGCCTTCCCCTGGGGTCAGGAATGCCCTCACGCCTCGTAGTTTCTGTTGCATTTGTTGTAAGTCACATAACTTGCATGAGGGATGCTCTTGGTTGAAGTAAAAGAAAACCAGGCCCAGATGGCCTTAAGCTACAGGAAATGTGTTGATTTACATAAATTGGTGCCCAGCCGCTGAGCAGTTCCGTGTGGGTTCATGTGGCAGTTCAGCAATGTCATCAGAGGCCCATCTGTCGGTTCTGCCTTCCACCCTGACAGCCTGCCCTGTGATTGGTCCTCCTGTGAGCTTAGGTGGCTACCGAAGCAGGCACATCTGTATGCTGCCTTTTCATGTCTGATGTCAAATAGATCCTGGATTCCTGTTGCTGCCTGGGAGAGTAGGGAAGGACTTTTCCAGAAGCCACCAGTAGTCCTCCTTTGAATCTCTTTTGACTGACTTGGTGCACATCTCCATTCTGGGAGGTGGGATTCCCTTTGACTCTCTGTGGCCACCTTTTGAGCTGAGCCCAAATCCCTTGTCCACCAGCTGCTGTTTAGTGGGGGAGGAGCTATGTGATGATAGTCAACAGCAACGTCCCTTACACAGGCAAGGGGTAACTAAGGTCACCGGCTCCTTTATTTATTTTCCATCCTCCTAAGAAGATTTTGGGCTGATGAATAGTTTGATAGGCAGTGCTACAAGATGGGTTGCTTAAAATTATTAGGAGGCAGGTGACAGACAATCCAAAAACGTGAAAACATGCTGGGCCTCATTAGTAACAGGGAAAATATAAATTAGGATCACAACGACATGCTATTTTACTCCCACTAAATTGGCAAAAATTAAGAAGTCTGACATTATCAAGTGCTGGCAATGATCTGTTATGAGGAAACAGAACCTCTCGTATAGTAGGAGTATAATTTGGTACCACCACTTTGGAAAATACATCTGTTATTATCTTATAAAACTTAACATGCATGTACCCTTTGAGTCAGCAATTCCATTTTTATGTCAAATTCTAGAACAGTTTTTGCAATTTCTTAAACAGACATGTTTGAGAATGTTCACAACAATCTTGTTCACAACAGTGAAAAACAGTCAACAATCCAAGTGTTCAAGAACAGGAGAACCAATAAATACACCATGGTACATTGTTTAAAGTGAAAATGAAGAACCACTGGCTACCCAACAACATGGACATGTCTTAGAAACTTAGGCTCAACAAAAAAGCAAGTTGCCAAAGACTACAAACAATAAAATACCACATTTGTAAAACTCAAAAGCCAGCACATTCAAGCAATGTATTGTTAGGAGACTACTATATGTTCTAAAACTACCTTTGTAAGCAAGAATGGTCTTCTAGAGAGGGAGTAGTCTAGAGGGTGGGGTCCAGAAATATCTCATAATTATTTCTCATGATGTTGGCCAATGGGATCTGATCTTTGATTGGGTGATAAGATTGGGGGTGTTTATTTTATTTGGGGTTTCATAATTTTCTATCTACAAAATAGTTTATAAGAATCTTAAAATATATGCTCACTGATCTATTAAGCAAATGCCATTGATTGCAATAGAGTGTCAAAAAAAATCGTGATTCTTATAGAAGGAATCCATGCCTGATGAATCAATTAATATTCTGTGAGGGAACAAATTGTTTGTGGCTGGAGGAACCAGCAACTGTAATCTATTTAGGCTTTGAGAAGTCTTTGATTAATTGCCATGTCATGAGTCATTAAAACCCTGGTGTTAAGAGTGGGTTGAGTTAATGTTTACTCATGGATAGGAAAGCAAGGATAAGAAGTTTGAAAAAATTAACGTGGAATTAAATGTGTAGAAATGTAATCCCTGTAATGATCAGAGTCGCTATTTGCTGATAGCACACTTTTTTAATGCTTACAGGGCAACCCACAAACAAAAAAGTCCCTCAGACTAAGAGTTGAGGGCACCAGGTAGGTGGTGAAACTCTGAGCACTTGAGGTCCAAGCACAAATTGGCTCAGAAGCACAGCAGATAAGCTTTTGTGTAGAGAGCACACTTGTTTGGTGATTCCCCTTCCCTTTAAATTCTCTCTGGGCATTTATTCTTGATGGGAAAACTTTGGAGCTCATGTAGGGATTTTTAGGGATTTTTCCACACTTACCTGTAGGGGAATCTCTTATGGTTAATAAGTTCTATTTAATCAGGTTCTATCTAAACAACTGTTTGAGTCCCTGGACTGTGTAGATCCTTCCCGGAGAGCTATTTGCCTCTGTCAGCATCATCATGCCCCCCCCCCCCGCCCCCCACACTTGAAGCTCTTAGTTTTGACCTTCTTCAACTCTGACAGTCACTTATCACAGGTGTGTGTCATCTTTGTGGTGTTATCCTTCTCACTTCCCCTTCCTACACACAAGTGGTTCTGTACTCTGTATTAGATGATTCTCAGGGAAGGGCCTGATCTGTTGTTTCCTGCTTCTTGGGATTCTCACTCCTCTTAGCTTGGGTACTTGGGTACTTGTTACTTGCTGATCTATGATTGCAAGCTCATTGCTAGTTTTTTTTAATCTTTAGAAAATCTCATGGGTCTATTTTGGGAGTGCTCTCCTTCAGAGGACTCATAGCTACATTTTTGGAGAACTGGGGCTCCAGGACCTTAGACCACTTCATCCTCATGCAAGTGCAATGCGGAGGTGCAGGCTCAGCTACTCACCTCACAGCTGGCCTGAGGCTGCATATGCAAGCCCGAGGTGGACATTCCTATTGGCATTTGCTGTTGGTGCAATCCTGCCCTATGGTTTGCCCTCCAGAAAGTGCTGTAGCTCTGTCCCTTGGATACACTCCTGTCTTTGGCGATCTCAGAAGGAGTCTGGGTGCTCTACCAGGGCACCATCTGCCACATGATCAGAATCACAAGTCTTCATTTCCTTTCCACTTTCATATATCCTTGTTTGGGGGAGCTCTCCATGCCTCTTAATTCCATGGAAGTTGGAGTGTGTGTTTAGTTGACCTTCTCTGCTATTCGGGGAGTGATTTCAGGAAAGTCTATGGGTAAAATATAAAATCAGAGAGCTGTGCCTTGTGCCTCCCACTCTGAAAATGTTCCCATCCCTCAGTGTGCAGAGGCCCCCAGGTACTGACCCTGAGTTCACACAGACACATGGACATTGTATTGGTTTTCTGGGGCTGTTGCAGCAAATTAGCCCAAACTGAGTGGCTTCAAACAACACCCATTTATCATCTTTTGGCTCTTTTTGTCAGAAGTCTGGGTGCAGCATGGCTCAGCTGGCACTTGGCTTGGGGTGTCACAAGGCTAATATTACTTGGCAGGACTGTACTATTTGGCAGAGCTCTAGGGAAGAACCCAAGCTCATTCAGGCGGTAGGGACGTGGAGGACTGAGGTCCCATTTCCTTAGTGCAGTTGACCAGAGTCATTCTCAGCTTAGAAGCCCCCTGCAGCCCGTGACTCATGGTCCCTTTGCCCCAAGCAGCAGTGGGTGTGTGTCTCCAAGGTCAGAGTCTCTCTGCCTCTCATCTCTGCTCATCTCTCCAAAGCATTTCTCTGACACATCAGTACGCCCTTCTCTTGTTATTAAACACTCACATGAGTTCACTGGTCCTCCTGGATGATCCAGGCAGTCTTCCTATCTTAAGGTCCGCCGGTGAGTGGCCTCAGATGCATCTGCCAAGCCCCCTCCCAGCAGCGTGTAGATCAGGGGGCAATAGCCTTGGAGGAGCCTCTTCCAGTCCCTGATACCCCAGATGTACACCCACATTCATTTGAGTCTTACAACAACCTTGTGAGTTAGGTTGTCATCATTCTCATTTTAAAAATATGATCGCTGAGGCACAGAGCATCCACCTGGTGCCCACTGTGTGCTGTTAGCAAGTGGCAGAGCTGGGATGTAAACGCCGTGGTCTGTTTCCAGAGGCCGTGCTCCTGACCGCTGTGCTGCATGGCTCTGGATCACAGACACTGTGCAAGTCGCGTGCCATCTAAAACACTGCTGAAAGGTGGATTCACCTTCTGAATTTAATAAAATGTTAGAGGTAAGAGGGCTGAATGTGAAGGTGCAAACTGCCTGGGTGAGCCCTCCAAGTCTTCTGGATATAGAGTGCTAGGCTTTTCCTCCATAGATTGGCTTAGAATCTTTCTTTTCCAGTATCAGTGTTTGCAGCTTTGTACAAACAATTGAAAGGAAGCCACGCTGCCCCCACCTTCCCCACTCCTTTTCCTCACAACCACATCTCCTAAAAGAATATTCTAGATTCTCACAACCGCTCCTCAAGCTTCTCTTATGGTTGCAGTGGAACGCACCTAGGCCAGGACACCCCTGGGCCACATCTTGCTGAACCCACCACCCTGCACAGGTCGAGCGGAAGGTTTTGCCATTTCCTTTTCCTATTTTAAGTTTTTTAAAATCAATGTGTTTTTTTTTAAAATCATAATTTACCTTTGTGACTTAGAAATCCAATCATGGCTAGAAGCTGTCTCCTACTCCACCCTCGCCAACCCCAGCCAAGGCCTCTAAGAAGGGGGCATTCTCTAATCTGCTTCTAAGTGTTGGCTTTTTTTTTTCTTTTTTCTTTTTCTTTTTTAGTTTCAGAGTCACCCTGTAGGATTAAAAAGGATGGGATTGTTTACCAGCTTTCCACATGGGTGGTGGTAAGGTGGGAAGTAGGAAGAGACATCACCTGTGATGTGTATTTTTCTTTCAACATATTTGTTTCCTGCTTCCACCAGCTGTAAAATGCAGCTAGTCATTCTGCAGAGAGTGGGGTGTGGAGAGGGTGCGTGGTGGTTAGCGAGAACACAGGAAGCATCTTTCTGTAATGGCACCTTCACCAGCGGCCTGTCTCACCCCGTGCTGGCCCAGGCATATGCTCCGAGTCTCTGTGTTTATCCTCATGGTCCCCTGTGCACTGTGAACTTCTGGAGGACCCGTGTGTATGTGTTTAGTAAGCGCCCAGCTCAGCGGCCTAAACACTTTTGAAAACAGATGTTAGTCGTTCCCACGGTAGCCGGGAGAAGGTGGCAGCTGCGGTTCAGTGGCCTTGGCGTACTGGAGACAACACGGTGGAGATAGGGAGGTGTGCACCAGCCCGTTTAACAGGAATCAGAAACCCCTGAGGAAGGTGGGGCAGGTGGTCTCTTAAGTGCCATCGTCACAGTCCCCTCCCACAGCCAATCCAGTTATTTTCATTTCAGAGTGAAGGGAACTCAACTCAG